CTTGCGTGGTTTTGAAACGGCGTCTCCGCGCGAGGTGCGCAGCACGACCGCCGGTGGAGCCCGGCGGCCGCTGGTGCGGCTTCCGGACGACCCGGACGCGCCGCCGAGTGGCCAGTGAAAGTCCGTCTCGGCCCGAGAGCCAAAGTCCAGCGTTTCACTTGCATGTTCCAGTGGCGATAGATTTTCCCCTCAAAACTTTTGCTTATCCGCAGAACAACTCTTAGTGGTTCACTGAGTGAAATCAAAGGGTTTGTGTAACTTGTTTAGAAATTCGATGGAAATAAACCTCCGCGGCGTGTTCTGCGCGCCGCGGGGGAGGGTCCGCGGGTGCGTCACCGCCCGCCCGGCGCTCGCGCTCCCGAGCTGCGCCCAGAGGTGACTACCCCTGTCCCGAGGTCAAGCGGAGGCAACGTCCGTTGTGGTCCTACTGTGTGATCTGGGTTGGATTTTACATCCGCTTTACTTGGTATCCTTGTTTTTCACCCTTGATATTTGGTAGACCGGTTTTTCTAGTTAGAGCAGTGGGCCCTGGCCGGGGGCGCTGCCCCGGACGCGGAAGGCCTGCGGTTGGACTCCCGGGCGGCGGGGCACATGCCCACCTGCAGGTTCCATCCCGGGCCGCGGGGCGGGGCGCCGCCGAAGCTCTTCCACATCGACTTCTCTCTCCTTTCCCCTCCTTCCTTCCCTTCGCTCTAAAATCAATAAGCATGTCCTTGGGTGAGGATTTAAAAAATAAGTTTGTTTTTTTTAAAGCATTGGGGGAGAAATTGTTGGCAAATGGCTTGTCTTTAGTAGGCAGAGATATCTGAACAGCAGCGCTGGGATTAGCATTTCCAGGCGCTGCTAGAACCCAGCCACTCTGGGTTTTTTGTTTATTTACATTTGGTTGATTGTATAAGGTACATAGCTAAAACCTCCGTTTTTCCCCTCAGGGCATCAAGTTGTCAGCAGATGTCAAACCGTTTGTGCCCAAATTTGCTGGGCTCAGTGTGGCATGGTTAGAGTCTTCAGAAACACACCTGTTTCCTGGCTGTGCGGCCACCTACTACCCCTGTGTCCAGGAACTGCCAGTGCCTGAGTATGTATTCTTATAAATGTCTCGCCTTACCTGAGGACTTTGTTTCTTGGCTTTAATGGTGATTAGCTTTAAAATATGCTGTAGCTAACACATTGAAGTTCTCAGTGTGTGAAAGAAGATGACCCTTCACCAAGAAGGGTCTGAGCTGGTAGCACAACTTAAGTGTGTCCTGCCACAGAAACTGAAGCTTCGGCTGGCCTTTTGTCTCTTTACTCACGCAGATGTTTTGGGTAAAGAAAGTGTGTAGATTGCATTGCACTGTATTTTTAAGGCATGGATCACCTTTTTGCTGTGTAAGAATCCTTGTCTTTATGTTTCTTTGATATACATCAAACTCATTTCTCTTTTTTTTCTTTTTCCACACCTGCATGGTGTGATTGAAAATAGTTTATACTTCATATAAATTCTAGAATTACATCTGCAAGAATGAAAATTGGGATGAATAAGAAAATCATTGAGTTGTCTGGTGTGTGTTTAGGAAATGTTAAAAGTTGTATTTTTTGACGAAAGTTGAAGACCTGCCTGTGTTTGCTGAAGGTCTCAGGTAGGAATACCCAAGTTTTCCACTGTAATTGCATCGTTTGTAAAAGGGACGTTGGCATGGGTCTCATTTGAGTTGTTTCCTACCTTGGGTGGTTCATAATAAAATACAAACTACATCTCAGTGATGACACTAAGCCATCTACTGGGTGGGATTTTAGTAACTCAAAGTAAAGGTGGAAAACATTCATATAGCTAAAGCAATGTAACTTGAACCATGGCTAATCAGAGGCTCAAGGTTGTGCAGCACTTAATTTGAAATTATGTTTCTTAATCCCTTATCCTTTTTAGTTTTGATTTAGTTTTTTAATTGTTTATAACCAAGGAAAAGATTGTCTGACAATATTCCTGACTGGCAAGAAAACAGTTAGGGACAAAGGAGACATGAAATCAAAGGGGCAAGGTTAGGAAGAGTAAGAGACTTTTAAAGTGGGGATGAAATGGGGAGACTTGACACAGTTGAGAATGGAGTGTCTGGTCAATTCTAATGTAGGTTAAGAAGTGCATTGCTCTGGTCAGATTTCATCAAAATGGAGATCTCTTGCTGCCATGAAAAAAAGGAGTAGCCTTTTCATAACAAACATACTTCCTCTTTCCTATTAGTTCCACTGTTACAACCGAATTCTGTATGTCCCCTTAAAGGAGGGGAGTAATCTTTTACAGAATTTGTCTGCCTCCCATGTCTCTAACAGTGCACTCAAAGGGACTTCATGTATTCAGTTGAGGGTGATTATTGAAAGGCTACTGTATGAAAAATGCTAGATGCTGAGGGGGAATGACTGTGTCATGAACTGTACCCTCTTTTTCAATTTTTTTATAGACTTGAATGGATAGAGATGAAAGAAAATGTACCAATCTAATACAAATTTATATTATAGATAAGACAAATATCAGTAGAAGTATTCTGGTGTATAGAACTGCCCATTTGGAAAGTACTAATGATTTACTGGTGTAATAAACAAATAGAGGCTATGCAGACACAATAAGTTCTCTGTTGCATTTTGTTTGGGTATTGTTGTATATGTTGTGTTGTGTGTTTTTTTCGTATTTGTCAGGTCCATGAGGTTGACAGGGAGTACATATAGTGTTATTTTTACACATTTTTACAGGCTAGAATTGCTTGTCCAAAGTTATTCGTGTAGGTAACACTAGAATCAAAATTAGCATTCAGTTCTTTTAACCTGAGTTCAGTTGTATTCCCCAAAGCTGCTGTTGCTGTTGGCAAGAGTTTATTGAGCATTTTCAGCATCTTACAATATACTGTGAAATGCACAATGCACAAATGGATGCTTTTAAGTTAAAGCCTCTCAGCTTTAAGAACTAGCAGTGCTGACAGTGTGGCTCAGATCAGTTTGGTGAGTAGAGGAGTGTCAGGATCCCTTGCAGGTGCTGGCCTGACTGAAGGGCCCAGGTAAAAGATATATTGGGAAGACAGTAGAGGAGTAAGTTCCTGTTGTTAAGGGGGAGCCATTAGGCAATTAAAAGCCTACATAGTGCCCTGCCTGTGTGACTCAGTTGGTTGACCATGATCCCATGCACCAAAAAGTTGTCGGTTCAATTCCTGGTCAGGGCACATGCCCAGGTTACAGGCTCGATTCCTTGTTTGGGTGTTTGCAGGAGGCATCCTGTTGATGTTTTCTCTCTCGCTCTTGTTTCCTCTTTCTCTAAAAAATAATCAATAAAAACATATTAATAAATAAGTAAATAAAAGCCTACGTAGTACAGCTGAAAGTTTAGGTTTACTGGGTGCGAAAAGGGAGCTTCTGGATTCACTCTTGGATTCTGGTTTGACTGTAAGGGAGAGGAGCTTGAAGGCTTTGACTGGGTTCCAGGTACTGGAAACAGAAGAAAATACATGGAGACCTGGTATAAGAAGAAAGTTCTGTGGCTGTCCATGTGGGTGTTGGTAGGAAAGGTGTACAGCAGTTTCCAGGTGAATACATAGGAAGAATCGTATCATTCATGAGAACATGAGTTGGAAGCAGGGCTGATTTGGAGACCAGATGTTAAATTTTAGATTTATATGTGCCAGGTGGGGGAAAAGTGAACTATTAAGTGGAAATGATGCTTAAGTTGGAATTAGAGGACTGGGGGTGATGAAGATACTAGATTGCAGGGATGTATGTGAAGTCCTGAGCAGAGTGCTGAGAGGTTTTGGACTCAGTGACTCTGACAGGTTAGATAGCCTGGAGGAGCTTTTGGGAGGTGGGTAAGAACAAGAAGAGGGCAGAGCTTGCAAGTCCAGGCCAGAGGAGTTTTTCTAGTGATGTGATAGAAGGGCCAGACCTAGCCATGTCTTGCAGAAGAGGTGACAGCGTGGGAGGAAGGAAGCCCCGGAGACTCAGCATTGTTGGTAGGGGTGAGGCAAGGAGAAATGGAGCTGAGGATCAGCAGGTATTGCACAAAACGTCGTGGAGCTGAGCTGCTGAATCCAGGGGAGTGCAGGAAGAGATGGTGGGCATGAGAGAGGCAGTGTTGCTGTGGTGCAGGGTCATCTGGTGGTTTGTGAAAACTAGAATTTTACAGAAAGCCATTTGAAGAACCAGCAGACGCTGTGAGTCGTCTCTGTGAGATTTTGTATTTTGTGGTGTTCTCTACCTATAATTTTATTTACTTTGGATGGAAAGAAAAAATACCAGCTTTCCAGAGGAAGGACCAGTGATGACATGTCCAAAGTGGACAACTAGATTGCAATAGAGCCCGGATCCAAACCAAGGTCATCTGACTCACAGGTGAAAATTTCCTGGATGACAACAGCCCTCAAAACCCACCCTGGCCAAGTGGATCAATTGGTTAGAGCATCGTCCTGATATCGCCATAGTTGCGGGTTCAATCCCTGGTCATGGCACCTATAAGAATTAACCAGTGAATGCATAAAGAAATGGGACAACAAATAGATGTTTCTCTCTTTCTTCCTCTGTTTCATAAATAAATAAATTAACCCACCACTGGATCTACCCTCCTTTTCCTGTTTACCTAAATTTCCTTGGTCTGTTCATTTATCTAGTTTTTGGGCTTGGGATAGTCTTTCTTTCTTTTTTTTATCAACCCATCTTCTTGGCCCATCTTGTGACGATTCCTCTCTTTCATTTGACCCCCATTAGATTTTCTGAACATCAAACAAAATAAAATGGGGAGTCACATCTAGGGTTAGCAGCTTTAGTCTCCCTCTTCTCTTCAAAGAGCAGCACTAGCCAGGTGGTCTGTGGAGCAGAAAAAGGTCAGTTTTGGTTAATTAGGAATGCTTCATTACTAGAATAGAGTGCCGGTAAGTAAAAGACTTTACAAGATCTAAACTTATGTCATGAATTAATAGGCAGTGATACCAGAGGCAGCCTGATTAAGTACTGCATGGAAACCAGAGCAATGAATGTTCTCACGGGTGTCCTCTAGGTGCGGCCTGTAGACAGGGACTCCCTTTCTGCTTCCGTGCAGGCTCTTACTGGCAGCAGAGTAGAGATAGGACTTCTAATAGGGGTGCTGGTATCTTGGCCTGTATCTCCTGACGGTCGCACAGTTGGAAGTTCATATAGAATGTCCCATTATTAGCTTTGGATTTTCCTGCCTTTCAATGGACCAGCACACTGGGATTTCATTGATTTGCTACAAGAAAATTTTCAGTTGTGGAAATTCACAGAAACATCTAGTGCTTATTTTTGGGAATAAAAAGGTTGTGATTTGTGCTTTAAGTCAGCTCTTTAACATTTTGTCAGTGTATCAGCTTTCATTTCAAAATGGTTGAGTCCTCTGGCCGTATACCAAATTTGCTAAAAAAAAAAAAAAATCAGTGTTACATTGTATTTTGGTTTCGCCTAGCAGCTCAAGCAAGTTAGAGCAATGGCACTGTTCACATATGGCATCCATATGGTCAGCAGGGTGTGTAATTCCTGGGCCACCACGCACACAGTGTCCCTTTGGCAGCTCTGGCCCTGCAAGTCAGTGGAGCGCAGGTGGTGGGCTTGGAGCAGGAAAGCACTGCAGCAGGATGTCTCCGGTACCCAGAGGCCTCAGGAGGCAGGCCGTGCAGGTCTTCGGGATGGAGGTTAGATTTGGGCCATGGGGGCCTCTGTAGAGAGGATGGTCTGGATGGCCCTTTGGCCAGGGTCGCTGAGACGCTTTCCCAAATATTTGACATCTTGAGAGGGGAAAGCTCCTGAGGCATCCTCAGGCTCTCCTGTCAAGGATGTTCCAGCTCAGTAGTGAAAAAATAAAATTAGGTCAGCATCTGTCTTTGCAGGTTAAGAAAGAAAGGCTCAGAGGTTTTATTTGACTTTTAATTATGGTTATTTCAGTGTAGAATGAATGGCCTCAAAAGTAATAAAAATTGAAAATTTTTTATGACAAAATATTAAGCTCCTTGTATGAAATCTGTAACTAAAATTTACCCTTTTTATTTAGGCAGAAACTCTATCCTGAAGATCTGGCCTTTGGAGCCTCAACATTTCCACATCAGTATTTGTCTTCCGAGATGGCTCTTCATCCATACACCCATCCTCCTTACCCTCTGGAGTCCACACACAGTGTTTGCCCAGTGCCTGGCTCCCAGTATGATTACAGCCAACCCAGTCGTTACCGCGGGTCTCAAACGGCGAAGCCTCGGTATGAGCATGGGTGCCCTCTCCCACAAGACACAAAAGCTCCGTTTAAGGTCAGTAAGTGCTGTGGTTTTGTTGGTCACTCTACCATTTAAAATGTAAAGAATTGGTCAATTCTTGCATTAACTTACGCATTGCTTATCTTTTTTAAGAATTTATTTGGCTTAACCTTTTTTAAAATGATTGAGTTGTATTTACATATTTGCCATTTTAAACCTGTTTTATAGTGGTACAGGTGGCCCTTGGACAATGTGAGATTGAGATGCATCACTGGGTCCACTTATGTGGATTTTTTTCAGTAAATATATTAGAAAATTTTTAGGACATTTGAAACAATTTGAAAAAACATGCAGACAAACCCTGTTATTTTCTTAACATTTTTTCCTCTCCAGTGCACTTTATTATAAAAATATAGTATATAATACATATAACATACAAAATATGTGTTCATTATTTACGTTATCGGTAAGGCTTCTGGTCAGCAGTAGACTGTTAGTTAAGTTTTGGTGGGTCAGAAGTTATACACAGATTATCTGCTCCTCGGGAGGTGGTCATTCAAGGGTCAACCGTAGTTTTCCTAATTCATGTTACTTTTTACTCTTTCCTGCAGAAAAAAACATATGATGAGCAAAAGTTTGCCAATAAGAAAGCTGATGGAACTATATCATCTGATATAAAACCAGTGAAAGGCTCACATTATATGTCCTATCGTGCTGACACTAATTTGAAATCAGGTAAAAATAACGAACTCTGTGTTTCGTCTTATGTCAACCTACTCCACCCACCCCAGAAGCATTGCTGTTGCTGTTCTTTGAACAGCTGTTTTTGTGTGCTTATTGTGAAAAGATGAGGCCATTGGGCTTCCTGTGGGATCCTGGAGGCCTTTCCTCCTGGGATGGAGATTGTTGCTTGTGGGTTCTGATGTGTCCTTAATGTGTTATTACCTTATTTTATACACAATCTTGTCTAAGATCACATAACAAAAAGGTATTGACCACACACCTCAAAACACGTCCTTAAATAAAAGCAGATCACAACCACACCTCTTGTACTATGTTTGGCCATGCTCATTTCTGACACAGCTTCTCTGGTCTTGTGTTGTGACACTTGTTAATAGGTGGGACAGTTTGTCTATGACTTCAGTTCTGTCTTAATACCAAACCCGGGGCAGTGTAGTTACTCAGAGGATACTGATTTTATTCACGCCAGAGGTCATTTCCGCTCTGGTGTTGAAAGCTACCATTCTGGGCTGTAGCAGAAAGTTAGTGATTTAACTCTGGCCTTATAATTAAATACAAGGACGTTGTGGCATTGCAACCTTCATGTCATTCATTTGCATCTGAAGGAGAAAGATAGGAGAGAGGTTATAAATTCAGTTCTACTTGCTTCTCTCCAGTTTGTTCTAGCAAAGTAAAATAGGGACCATTTATTACTTAAAGGAAATTTGTTAATGTCTCTTTAAATTTGCAGAACTCTAAAATGTGTATTAAGAATAATCAAAACGCCCAGATAAACAATCAGGTCAAGGTAACTATTTCAACATTAGCGTTACTCTTAAAATTTGCAGTGTGTTTTGGTTATTTTGCTTTGTGGTTAACCAGAGCAATTGCTACCTCTGGTCATATGTGTTTACACTGTTACACAGACGATTAACATTAGCAAAAGTTAGGCTGTTTGGATAATAATGTTGTTGCATCAGTAGCAATACATTTTCTGTTCTGCAACTCAAGCTTGAGTACAGATCATGAAACATCTAAATTTTCCCCCCTGCTTTTAATTCTGTGCATACAGATGGTTATCATAAACGAACAGACAAGAAACCCAGAATCAGTGAAAAATGCGGACCTCCCTCCAAACCTGGGTTTGAATTTACCAGGTTGGATTTTCCTAAACTTCAGGGTGCAGAGAACAGTGAGATATTAGAGACACCAAAACAGCCCAAGTGGGGGCCTTCACACTCTGCCTCCACGGACACTTCCCTCGGGAGAGGAGTGGGGAAGCCTGCTCCACAGTCAGCAGAGGTGAGTGCAGGCTCCTCTCCCTTGTTTCCCTCTTTCTCTCTTATTGTGTGAACTGTTTACAGTGAGGCTATGAAAACAGCTACTGCTGTTTTCAAAGAATCACCCAATATATTAATTTTCATCTGATGGGTGAAAGGTCCAGAAGATTCTAGCATGAATTCGGCTGGCTAGACATCTCACTTCTCGTATTGTGTGCTAACAGCACTTTTTCAGCACAGACAAGCAGATTTTATTTACCCAAATAGTAGTACTTAAAACTGCATAGGGTGGTTTCTGATTTTCTAGGCTTTTTATCTGCACCTCTCTTGTTAATGATACAGCGAATGATTCAGTGAGAGTAGCTGCAGTGAAGAGTGTGCAGTTTGCCACTTAGTAATTTTAAATTTGCTCTCAAAGTTTCACCATTTGCTCTCAAAGTTTTAGAGACTTCCAGGAAAAACCGTTATTGGGTTACTAGTCCCTAAAATCACTTCTGACCAATTTCTGATAAAGAAAGGGTGGAGCACTTCCCAGTGTGATGGCCAGGACAAAGACAAAGCTGCGAGAAAACTGCTCACCCAATTGATTGCTCACCTCCTGAGTAGAGAGAGGACTTCGCTTCCTGTCCTTGTCTTGGGTGCTTGAACACTAAAGCCCTGGCTTGTGTGCAGAAGATATGCCATTCCCATGGCATTTCCTGTCACACGACGAGGCGGATTGGTATAGAGGAGGGTCAGTCTCATTTGGCTTGTGCGTGACCCTTCTGGGCCCCAGTGGAGTATGTGGAATAGCTGAGCAGTCAAGGGGCTCCATGCTTTGGTCACGGCTGGCAGTGGATAATTCCAAGCCCATGAGCGCCATACAGAAGTAGAACAGATGTGAGTTAGAGGCGAGTGCTGTGCGTGTGGACCTGAAGTGAGGTCCATCATGCTGTGAAGAGAGTTACGTACTTGTTCCCTTACTATTACACTCGTGAATTGTGTGTGCAGTTGTTTTTTCATTTTCCCTTTAAAAAAACTTTTTTTCCTGATTATCCTGGTATTATCTTTGAACAGCAAAGAAATATGAAGAGAAAAAGGAAATGTAGTGTCTGAAGTGTAGCCAAGAGAAACCATGTTTCGCACTTACTCTTTTGTTAATGGTACACTGTGGAAATTGTACATATCAGGGGTCGTACACACACACGGACTTGTGTTAGAAGTTTTCAAAACTTCTTTGGCATTTTTTCCATGTCTTTAAATACTCTTTGAAAACAAACTGTTGCACTGGATCTTTGATGTTGATGTACATAATTGACCTAACCATTTTTGAATAGATGAGCCACTTCTAGCCTTCCATTGGCCGTGGTGAGTATAAAAAGTTACATTTACTAAAAGAACAGGCTGTGTTTTAATAATTCTATTTTTTATTACTTGATTCATGTATAATGAAATGGCAAAATGGGTAAGGTTATGAAATATATCAGCTTCAGAATTTATTTTCAAACAATTCGCATTTGAATTTGTCAGCTTCCTTTTACCTTCTGTTTGGTCAGTCACTTTGAGATGTCTCTTAGTGTTCTCACCCGCCCCACAGTGTCTTTGGGGCTTCATGTTCCGTGTGTGCGGCAGCTTTCTGTTTTTATAAAAGTGGGCACATGTTACAAAGCTTATGTTTGTCATCTCTGGACGTTTTGAGGGACTTTGGAAGGTGTGTAGGCTTGGTGAGCGATGCTCTAGCATTTCTGTGGGGCACTGAGGTTAAGAATGGTATCAGCACGTCTGCACTGATATGAAAGTCTGTGATAGGTCAATTTTTCAAAGGTTGCATGAAACGTGTGTTGTGATCCCATTGTTAGGGTCTGTATAAAAATGCTGCATAGGTGTTTCTCTCCTACGCAGAGGAATAGAGGGATGCCAGGTAAGCTGTGGGTGACTTCTAGGGAGAGAGATTTGACAGAAGGAAGTAACTTAACTTTTCAGGTTACATACTTAGGTATTTGGAATTTTTAATTAGCATATATTTTGAAGATTTTAAGAATGTCAAGGGAAGCTATATTTAAAAATTAAATGATTACTTTCAATTTGAAATAGTGAGAAAATAACTGGTTTGCTTTTTAGGGTGAAACAGTGGTGGAAAAAAATAAGCTGACTGACTCTGTAACTGATAATGCTGCTACCAGTCCCTCTTCATGTACAAGAGGTAAGAGTGGCTACCAGATAATATTTTCAAAAATCAGTTGTCTATTTTTTAAGTTCGTTTTTAGTCTGGTACAACTTAAATGTTTTTGTCTTAAAGCCTTCTTTGAGGCAGCTGAAGGGTTGTTGATAAACTGAAATTGTTTTTGGGAGATTGAAGTAGACAAGAGCCCACGTGTATGTGTAAGGGGTGTAAGACAGCAAAGAATTCTAAATGAAATATTTACTCAGTTCAGTGAGAAAGTCGATCGTCTCCAAAATGACAAGCTTCTGTAAGTATTACCTGTACCAGAGGTCCTCAAAGATTTTGGTCTCAGGACCCCTTGATAGCTTTTAAACAGCTCCACAGACCTTCTGTTTATTTAGACAACTGCTAGTATTTGCAATATTTGAAGTTAAACAGAGTAACTTCAGAAATACTTATTAATTCACTTGAAAGTAGCAGTAATGTACCATTACATGTCAACATAGCATTTTTATGAAAAATAACTATTTTCCAAAATTAGGTCAGTAAAGAGAGCAGCCTTGTTTTACATTTTTGCGACTCTTCAACGCTGGCTCAGTGGGTCTGCCTTTGCATTTGGCTTTTTCACTGTCCTACCTTTGCAGTCTTTGGGTAAATAATACATTCCTAGTGTCAGGAAAACAGTTTTGACTTCAAGGGTTCTGGGAGCCTGAGGCCACACCTTGAGAACTGCTACTCTGTCCTGTCCTGGCCAAGAAGTAATATATTCAGAGAGAGTTCAATAGACTATACTTTTGAAATTTTTATAAGTAGCTTGTCCTAACAGAAGACATTTTTACAAAATTATTCCTGACTTATTCACAGGTATGTTTTCTTGTGCATTCTTATGTTCGATACAAAGATCATGTTAGAGGCTTCCCTAAGGATGTGTAGCTCTGTGGTGACAAGAATAGTCTGTCTTACTGTCTGGGGCAGCCACAAGCTGCTGACATGACCTGCCATGTCCTGATGGCTGTCCTTTTGTTTTGTCTATATGTAGTTTCATGGGCATCTAAGGAGTAGTGTGGCTGTGCTTATGCCTGTGTTCTAAAAAGAAATAAATTTCCAGTTATTGTGATAGCTGAAGTCTAGTGACCTTTGACTTCTGCTGATAAAGATATACATCAAGGTTAGTAGGGCAAAAATTTGATCTTTAGCTCATTAATTCTGTGTGTTTGCCACATGAACATAATTGAGGATTGCTGTTTTTTAACTGAACAACCCCAAGTGAAAACCAGTTTCTAGGAAGATCAGTGAACCTAACAAGTTAATTCAGCATGCATGTTCCAAGGAAAACATGTTTGGTGAATGTTGTAGATTCCAAGAGAATGTTTTGAACAACAGCCTAAATTTAATTATCTCTGAGTAATTATCTCACATGATGCATGTTTGGAATTTCTAAGGATTTTGTGTTTCCTGTTGATACTGTCTCCAACTGTGGTTCTCTCTGAGCAGAGTTATCCTGGACGCCAATGGGTTATGTTGTCCGTCAGACATTACCTACAGAACCGCCACCAGTCCCTAGAAATGTTACTTCCGTGATAAACCTAAAGACGGTTGTTTCATCAGCAGATCCTAAAAATAGTAGCATATCATCTTCTCAAGCTTTATTTTCGGGTCCTCCCTACCATCGAGAGAAACCCATCGTCTGCTCAACTAAAAAGGTATGCGTCACATTCGGATAACGTGGGTCTCCTATACCACTGGAATGTCGTTTATTTTTTTCTCAAATCCTTACTGAAAATGTTTCATTCTGTACTGTGGTCAGTCATCTGAGTTGGTTGTGCTTCAACCTTGAAAAAAAGAACAGGACCTCAGTCAAGGAATACAAGTGGTAGCTTGGTACACGAGGTGAGGATGCACGTTTCAGACCAGTGGTCTTAACGTGTGTGGACCATTTTGAATTCTTTAGAGGAGAGATGCTGGCAGAAATGTATACTCTGATGCTGCATTCTATCTCCCAGTCTTCTGTTTATTGAATGTAAGTTAAATTACTTTTACTTGCTAGGGTACTAAGAGCACAATCATTCAGTTCCACATTTTTGCATTCATTTGGTGTATGTTACTGACTCTTGGTTGATTGCAGCTTACATACTGTAAGATAGCATTTCAGATCCATTTTCCCTTTCAGTTCAAATCATTGTAAGCTGTCATTTTTATTGATACGTAGATTTGTATCTTGAAGAGCCCTTTTCATTGGTCTAGCTTTTGTTCTTGATTTTCAGTATGCTGAAATAGTCTTGTAGGTTGAAATTGGTTGTATTTCTTGAGTGCATGGTTTCCAGTTTTTGGAGTGTGAGGCTGCTTTTTGACATCCAGTGTCACCAGTGTCCTGCACAAGCAGGCGCTGTGTGTTGGTGCTGGTTGACAGGAAATGTGTGCAGGCGACAGGCAGAGCGAGACAGACCTGTGTGCTGTTCTGCACAGCTTCGCGCACCCATTTGAGAACACAGGTGCGGGTGAGACCCCGTCATACTCACAGACCACTGGCTCTGAGACCCCGCTGTCCTCTGGGCACTGGCCACAGCCGACAAGTTGCTGTCCGAAGTGGTTTTCCTAACAGGTTGTTAACATTAAGAATTAGCAGATTTTTTCTTTTTCTTTTTTTTAATCCTCACCTGAGGATATTTTTTCCATTGGTTTTCAGAGAGAGTGGGGGGTGGGGGGAGGGAGAGAAACATTGATGTGAAAGAGACACATTGATTGGTTGCCTCCTGCACGCAGCGTGACCAGGGCCGGGAATCCATCCTGCAACAGAGGTGCGTGCCCTTGGCCGGAATCAAACCCAGGACCCTTCAGTCCGTGGGCCGACACACACACCACTGAGCCAAACCGGCCATGGCAGATTTTTTATTTTCTATGAATCATTTTTAAAAGGTGATAAAATGAAGATCCCCTATAATCTTAGAACCTAGATTGCTTTGCATTGTACACAGCAGAGATGAAAGCGATCTTAATGGCTTTTCCCTTTAAAAGTTTCGGGGTTGTAAATTTTTATTACCAAAATAACAAATGTAATGCTGCAAGGATCTAATTGTGGAAGGTCATCTTTCCTACACCCCTTTGGTGCTTCCCCACATTGGGGAGCCTGCATTAGCAACCTGTCATGCACGTCCCACCTCAGGTTCCTGAAAACACAAACAAATAGGTTTGCCTTGTTTTTTAACTTTTTTTTTGTTGTTAACAAAAATGTGGTCATTCTATATATATTAAAAGTTGCGTTTTCGACTTAACAAAATATCACGAACAGCCCTCCAGGTCAGTAGATAAACACGCTTTTTAATGGCCACTGAGGCTTTTAGCTGTGAAGGGTAAGCTCCCATTGAGGATGAAGCAGGGCCCTAAAAGCTTTGCCCTCTTAGAGCCCCATTCTGATGCAGAGAGATAGTGCTGTGCAGACACATGCAGAAGCCTTCAGGTAGCAAGTGCTTAGCACCAGAGGCAGGTGAAGAGGGAGAGGCCAGACAGAAATGGTAGGGCTCTGGAGGTGAAATGAGGGTGCAGTCCTGGCCTCATCCAGCTGAGTGTAAGTGCGGGGGCCCTGAGGCCGCAGTGTGTTGGACCTGGTTGGGGAAAGGCCCGCCTGAGTGATGGGTGGGCATGGTGAAGTCAGATTCAGGGTGTCTGATTTGAATGCTATACAGGTGGTTGTGATGGGCCCTGGTAATAGAAATGGCATACTTGGGCTTATGAAGAGACTTTAGGTCGCAATTAGTAGAATTATTAACGTGGCCTCCTCAGGCTGGAAACTGGGTTATGTCTAAATCTACCAGTTTCAAAATACTGAACACAGGCTTTCACAGGTTTTTTTCCCTTCAGGATTATTCTCCTGAATGCTGGCTCTTTAGAAACTGAAGATGAGGGGGTGAACCATGAATAAAGTTGCCATGTGGTCATACAACCTTTTTTAAAATATGTTTTTATTGATTTCAGAGAAGAAGGAAGAGGGAGGGGGAGAGAGAAACATCAGTGGTGAGAATCATTGATCAGATCCCCTGCCTGGGGTTGAGCCCACAGCCCAGCCCTGTGCCCTGACTGGGAATAGAGCCGGTAGCCTCCTGGTTCATGGCTCAATGCTTAACTACTGAGCCACACCGCTGAGCCTGGTTATATCACTTAATAACTTAATTTTGCTCTAATACATGGAGTTAAACATTCTATTGAATCTCCTAAAAACCCATGGTTTTTTTTTGTTCTAGTCCAAAGCATCACAAAGTGGTGATTCTGAGCAAAATGAAGCCTCAAGAAAAACTAAGAAAAAGAAAGAAAAGTTTAAATCTAAATATGAAGTCCAGACAGCTCCAGAGCCACCGAGGATCGAAGTACCTATTTGTTTCCCCTTGTGTGATCCATGGGTCTGTCTGCATAGGGATGTGGGTTCATACTGGTTTTCTAAGTGAGAATCTCCACCATGTTCTTTAACAGCTGTCCTAGTGCTAAAGAAAATAACTATTGTCCATTTTCTCCATGTCTTCTCATTGGCGTCCAGCCAGCGCCAGCCTCGTGGCAGGCACTCGGTAAACGTGGGAGCAAGTGTGTGACTGTCTAGAGACAGAACTACTTGTATTGGAATTTAATAGTTTATACACCATAGTACTAGACTTACCCCTCAGGAGCTTCTCTACCTGCTTTTTCCTTGGCTTTGGCATGCTGGCTTTTCCAGGGCCTCCTTTTCTATCCAGAAATCTTACCATGTGATTCACTAGAGAGAGAAATTTAGAATACCAGAGAGCCATCATGGGCCCTGGTCACGATGTCGGGGACTTGCAAAAGCACTCTTTAAATTATTGACCTGTGGTACTCCAGGAGCGTCCCTGTCCTTCAGGGAGCCATCCTGGGCTCTTACTACGTTTCTCATGGGTCTGCAGTTCTAGATTCTTCAGCATGTCTCCTGGCGCCTGCAGAAGGGTCAGCGGTATTGCCCAGGTGGTCAGCTCTGGGTCAAGCCGAGGTTTTCCCACAAAACTGGGGGTTCCCAGGGCTCTTGGAACATTCCCTTGAGAATAGTGAGGTTGCGTTTGAAGACCTATGACCATCGCATAGCATTATGGTTTGGCCAATAAATAATTCATATTTCTGCCCCTATTTATCGCATAACTTCTCCAAGGCACCTAAAATGTTGACAGAAGCACCCAAGACATTTTAAATGATTTAAACATTGTCTAGAGATCTGTTGCCCCTCTCTAGTTTTTAGCCTGGGATCAGCACACACAATAGGACACTTACCTACCCAGAGTCGGATTGATGGTTTCCCTAATGCACAATGTAGTCAGAGGATGGCTGCTCGAACACTCTCATGCCGTGGTCCTTAGGGCAGTTCTGTGGACTCCTTGGGGCCCCCACTCTTGCTTTGTGGAGCAGGAGATTAGAACTGTGGTCTTTAAATTGGTTCTAAGAGTGAAATTAAGCTGAAGCCCTTACGATATAGTTTTTGGGCTCTTTTGTATCACCTCTGAGCAGTTCTGTGGGAGCTTATCATATGGCATATAAGCAAGGAAGAGCTTTCACTTGCGCACATTTGAGTCTTGTGATTTGTGAGGCCCTAAAGGGTGTGTGGTTTACTTAGGATGTCGAAGAGTTTCCCAATCTGGCGGTCGCATCTGAAAGAAGAGACAGAGACAGAGTAGAGTCACCAACATTTCGATCTAAGGAGCAGCCACAGGTAAATTTCGGATTGAAACCACAGTCGCTTTAGGCTTTAACTTTTCTTGCTCAACTGACGTGTGTGTGAAGACAGGTGGTTTTGGTTTGATCTCTGTTGGAGGAGCGCGTCTATATGTTGAAGCAGAATTGCTTTTCAGCTAAAACACCGTCACTTTCGTAGTAAGCCTGTTGGTAATCATTCAGGACCAGGGAATTCCTTTGTGAGGCGGTAATGTCTGACGGCAGGAAAACAGCAGCTACCCCAGTTTCACTCTGAGAAGTCAGCACAGGCGGAAGAGGTGATTCTCTTGTTCTGCAGCCCTGCCGTGCATTCAAGAGTAAGCTTACAATTCATAACCTAAGCGGGGAACGTGTGCGCTTTGGGCATGTTCGTTGTCATTTTGCCTTTCAGAGTGGGGTAATTATTTTCGCATGTGTGGAAGGTAAGGCTCTAAACCCCGTGTGAGTGATTTTGCATCACCAGGTTAGAATTTGGAAGTTCCGCCCTGGAGGACAGCCTCTGCAGCCCGCCGGCGCTTGCGTCTTGATGCGAGCCCCGGCCAGTGGGGCTCTGGTGGCAGGGAAGGAACAGTGGGCAGGCGAGCAGGAGGGAAGGAGCTGAAGCATGTGCAGCAGCTGCCTGTAAACCTCTTACACCGTCTCAAACCCAGGTCACAGCTGTGTCAGAAGCAACATTTGTTTAGAGTACATCAGACTTTGTGTCTAAATGTAGTACCTACCTGCTGAGTGTGGTTGGACTTGGGTAAATTTGTTTCATGGCAGTTGATTCACTCACTTAGCGATTGGAGAATGATCCGGGCTAAGGAGGCCCTGATCCTGACCAGTTAGCCTCACGTACAATAGACCTTTCTGCCCAAGACTTTATACAAGTGTTGGTTTCTTGTTTGTAGATGTGCACTGTTCCTCACAGTGGAGATGTAGACGGAATTATAGGTGGCTTACCATAAGCCCAGTGTTCTGAGAGAAAAGGGAGGAACAAATAACCATAGTGGTCATATTGGCAGATAATGTGGGACTGCTTGAGTATTTCTCTTTATTTAAGATTTTTATAGTCTCTAAATCTATTTCATTTTATCTTTAATGATATGATTTTTTTTTGGTCATAAGGTGAAAAGCACAGTAAGATATATTATTGTAAATAAACTTCTGATTTTTGAACTTTTTAGAATAATTTTAAAAGCAGTGGAAAGAAGAGTCAAATTCCAGTACAGCTGGATTTGGGGGGGATGCTGACAGCACTGGAGAAGCAGCAGCGCTCCCAGAATGCAAAGCAGTCCTCCAGACCAGTGGTGTTTTCAGGTAAGAGAGTCTTTTAATCTCAAATGATTGAAAGTGTTTTTCAGATAGACTGTTTTGTGACTGTTTTCTTTTATAATCAAAAGTTATTTATAATCAAAACAGTATGTTACTGGGATAAGGGTAGACATAGACCAATGAAATAGAAATGATAGTCCAGAAATAAACTCACAGATGTATGGCCAGTGGATTTTTGACAGGGATGCTGAGTTCATTAAAAGAACAGAGAACAGTCTCTTAAAAATTGGTTCTGGGACAACTGGATTTCTATATGCTAAAGAATAAAGTTGGCCCCTTACATAAACAAAAATGAACTCAAAATGGATCAGTCACCTAATTGTGAAAGCTAAAACTACAACACTCTCTTAGAAGAAAACAGAGGTAAATTTTCATGATCTTGAATTAGACAATGAATTTTTAGATAGTACACCAAAAGGATAGGCAGCAAAAGCATTAAAAATAAGTGAATTGGATTTTATTAAAATTAAAAACATTTGTGTACCAAAGGACATTATGAAGAAAGTGAAAAGACAGCTTACGGAATGGGAGAAAATATTTGAAAATCATGCCTGATAAGGGTTTAATCTCCACTATATAAGAACTATATATACCTCAATAACAAACTCATACAATGGGCAGCAACACCTGAGAAGGCATTTCTCCACAGGAAGATCACAGATGGCCACTGGGGCATGAAAAGATGCTTATCATTAGTAGTCACTGGAGAAATACAAGTCAGAGACCCTCAGTGAGGTAGTTCTTCATGCCTGCTCTGGGATCTATAAGCAAAACCACGAAAATAACCAGGGCTGCTGAGGATGTGGAGAGATTGGACCCCTGTACACTGCTGGTGGAAATGTAAAATGATGCAGCTACTTTTGAAAACAGCCTGGTGGGTCTTCAGAATGGTAAATACAGAGTTGCCATGTGACTGAGCAGTTCTACTCCTCTATATTTATCCAGAATAATTAGAAACAGAGACTCAGACACTTGTATGAATACACCAGTATTCATAGCAGCAGTATTTGTAATAGCCAAAAGATGGAAACACCCCAAAAGTCTATCGACAGATGAATGGGTAAACAGTGTGGTCTATACACACAATGGGAGGGACATTCTGACATATACTACAGCGTGGATAAACTTGAAGGCATTATGCTAAGTGAAGTAAGGCAGTCACAAAAGGAAAAATACTGTATGATTCCGCTACATGAAATTTCTAGAATAAGCAAATCCACAGAAACTAGAGTAGAGGTTACCAGGGGTTGGGGGAGGGGGAATGGGGAGTTATGTTTAAGGGGAGCAGATTTGTCAGTTTGGGGCATAAAAAGTTATGGAAATGGATAGTGGTGATGGTTGCACAAGACTGAACATAATTGATGCCACTGAATTCTGCACTTAAAAACAGTTAAAGTAGTAGATTTTATGTTACATGTATTTTACCATAACAGTTTAAAAAGTTATTTAAATATGATTTTAAGAAACAGTGACTATACCTGAAAATCTCATGATACATAAGTGCCCTGCACAGGTTCCAAAGCAGACTCTGATAGAAATGAATTACCTGCCTGTCCATGGGACATGGCTCATAACTTTTGGCTCCATTCTGGAAACATCACTCTCTCCTCTGAAGCATCTTCTCATGGAGCCATGACTGTTAAAACGGGCAGCATGCCAGAGAAAGAGATACGAACACTTGCCCTCTAGTGTTTTAAGTATGTTTCCTCCTCCTGAGGCTGTTTGTTAATTTATTTTAAAAAGAAAAATGTAGCCAAGGAAGTGGTTAAGGAGCCTTTATCCTGAAGTATTTTAAAGTAGCTCATAGGCATGATTTCATTTTACCTTAAGTACCCCATTAGCATCTTCAATAGTGATTGCATTTTTAACTGACCCACCCTACCATCCTCCCATCTGATATTAATGATTGTTTCTTGTTAGTGTCTTGTATCCAGTCTGTTTGAGTTCCCTTCATTATCTCAACAATTTTGGTAATTTTATTCATATCAGGATTCACAGTTCCATGCATTGCTTGTCTGAGTAATTCTTATATAGTAGTTCCCCTTTCTCTGTGGGGGATACATTCCAAGACCCTCTCCCCCCAGTGGAGGCCTGACACCACAGACTGAGCCCTCTGTATACTCTGTTTTTCCTATATCATGCATACCAATGATACAGTTTAAACTACTCTGGTGCTTTGGGGCCATTAAGTAAAATAAGGGTTGCTTGAACGCAAACACGGCAATACTGCCATAATTATCTGAGACAATTACTAAGCGACTAATGGGCGGGTAACAATTACTAAGTGACTAGCCGGCGGGTAGTATATACAGTGTGGATATAACTGGGCCGAGGGATGATTCACGGCCCAGGCAGGAAGGAGCAGGACAGCAAGAGATTTCATCACGCTGCTCAGAAGGGCATGCAATTTAAAACATGAATTGTTTCTGGAATTTCCTATTTAATATTTTTGGACCTCAGTTGACGACAGGTAACTGAAACTACAGAAAGCAAAATTGCTTTTAACAGAGGACTGCTGTATACCAGAGCTTGGGACCACTGCCCTCTTTGTGTCTCCTCAAATTGCTTTTCTCAACTACTGTTTGGTAAGGGGCTGCAGGGCTGTTACTGTGCATTGGTGGAAGTTGAACCATCTTCCTGTCCCTGTAATGAAGTCCCCTGTTCTCAGTCTGTAGATGTGTGATCTCATTTCTCATTGAGGGTGTTTCTGGTAGTTTGTGCATATTGCTGGCCCTTTTGCGTAAGTCTCTCTTCACCACTTTCAGGTGACACCACCTTTGCCGAACTCAGCTCTTGGTTTCCGTATGCCGATCTCCTGACTGTCTTGTAAGGCCCTTGTAAGAGTCTAGTAACATTTCTAGTTGATTCTCTTGTATTTTTCACACATAGACCTGTTTTCCCAAATCACCTCATGTGCAGTAGGTAACAGTCCCTCCAGTCAGGACGTGACTGATCACTACTCAGTACTCCATTGCATTCTCTGGTTCTGCTCTACCGCCTACACTGTATCCCTGCTCCTATGGGCAAGTCACTTTTTCTTGGCACTTAGCTTTGGGCTTATGTGTTTTTTGACAATATGGTCAGTCAGGTGTGACCATAGGAGGATACATAGGAGAAGATCAAGAAAAAGAAAAGCTGCTTCTACTCGCAGATCCTGGAGACGAGACGCAGCATGCAGGGCCACATGGGGAAGCACCAGGGTGGGCAGGAGGGAGGAGAGGGGTTAGGCCAGTCTTTATTGGGGTTTCTGCTGGGAAGGAGCCCTACTTCCCCAGGCCCACTGTTAACACTATGGAGAGTTGCATGGCAGGGGGTGCAGACAGGAGGGCCTGCAGTGGGTGTGGCAGGAGCCCAGCTGAGGTCCTGAACTCAGGTGGCATTGGGGTTGGAGAGAACAAGCAGATGTGAGCAGGGTTGGTATGGGCCTGCTTTTCAAGAAGGGCTGATGACAGGAACTAAGCCAGTTATACATAACGTTTCAGACATAATGGTGGGAGTGAGTTTCCATAGATAACCAGCAGCTGTGCCACAGCAAGGCTAGAAAGGGCGTAGCGGACACGTGCAGGGAATTAAACAGCTGAGATTTAATAGATACACCCAACTAAGGAAGTACTAATAACTTAAATGCTGCACTTAAGGAGTGTGGGTAAATACACTTGGGAAAATCTGGATGTTGTGGAGGCTGGGCAGTGGGAACATGGTTTTGTTGTTACACTGTTCTCTTTTCTTTGGTGTATGTTGGAAATTTTTCTAATTAAAAAGTAGGGGGTCAGCATACTCAGGTGAACTGTTTCCTGGGAGGAGGAATGCAGTGTAGGAAGTAGAGCCGCCATAAGGACAAACCACCAGAAATGTTCTCAGAAAATGGGGCCACATATCCATAGACTCGCCTGAGAGTAGGAGGCTTGATATCGGGGCAGGAAGAGGGTTCTTCATAAACTAACCAGGAAGTTTTTGGATCCCTACCAAAAGATACCAAGTTTCACTGACAGTCACTGCCAATTAGAGGACTGTCCAGGGGAGTTTGATGAGGACGAGTAAGGCTGTGGGGCCGGGCGGGGTGTCGTGGGGACCCCTCCTGAGGCAGGCGTCCTCCCTGTGTTGCAGTCGGGGCAGTTCCTGTTCTCTCCAAAGAGGCCACGTCGGGGACGAAGGGCCACCGCTTCAGCCAGGCAAAGACCCCGCACAACCCCTTGGACTCCAGTGCCCCCCTGATAAAGAAGGGGAAGCAGAGGGAGGTCCCCAAGGCCAAGAAGCCGACCTCCTTGAAGAAGGTACGTGGTGCTGTGTTTGAAAGCAGCACTGGAGAGCCCACGGTGTTCCCAGCTCAGCTCTGAGGCTTCAGGCTTCCATGCTCCAGCCAGAGGATGTGTCTGGTTCTGAGAGATGAGAGTGATGTCAGGCATGCCAGGTGGGGTGGCCTCACCTGCTAAAAAGGGAAGCCAGGGTTTTTTGTTTTTAATTTTCACCTGAGGACATGCTCAGGGTGAGAGAGGGGAAGGGGGAGGGGAGAGAGACATCGATGTGAGAGAGAAACAACGATCTGTTGCCATATGTGCCCCGACCAGGGGTCGAACCCGTAACCTTTTGGTGAGTAGGACGATGCTCAGCCGACTGAGCCACTCCGGCCGGGCACTGGGAAGCCGTTTTAAAAATGCTTTGCAGTGACATGGACTTTGCAGAAAATGAGAAGTGGGAGCTGTGCTCTCCTTATTCACTTGGTGCCCTCACCCCCTCGAGGGGCCTCTGCTGTGCAGATCGGGGAATATTGGCACCTCCTGGCCGGCACTCAGGGCTGTTGCACAGGTTTCTTCGTTTAGCTCTCAGCAGCCTGTGCTGTGTAGTCAGCCTTGTCCTGCTCAGGCGCCTGTGTAGGGAGGGACGTGCCGCTCTGGGCCAGCCCCCAGCGGGGGGGGTCGGGTGCAGTGTAGGGCACGGTGCACACACTGTGGTCAGCCAACCTCGGTGGTTTATTTTGCAGAAGAGCTTCTTTGTAAGCACATGTATTTAGGTGCTCTAATCATTTATTCAATTTTAAAGATTATTTTGAAAGAACGGGAGGAGAGAAAGCAGCAGCGTCTCCAAGAAAACGCCACGAGCCCAGCTTTTGCCAGTGACGATGTGCAGGATGTAGGGAGTGGTGCTGACCGCCTGACTCTGGAGCAGGGTGAGCCCTTAGGTACCCAGTTCTGTTGGTGGCATCTTAAGGAAGTCTTCAGTTGGGGCAACCATGTGCAGCAACCCCCCAGATTCTGCCCACCTCTGCCCCTTTGTGGTGAAAGCACATCAGTGCTGGACCCCGAGATGCAGAAGTTCTCAGATTTCCTACTTGACAGGAAGAGGCTGACCCCATGGACAGTGGGCTTGTGGTGCCCCTAGTTCTGGGAGTCTGTGAGGGACAGCGATTGAGGCCCGAGTTTGATCTGTGTGGCATTGGATGGTCCTCACGATCTGAAGTGGCTTTGAGAATTAGCCCCACTAACTGCAAAGCTCTTTTCCCATGAGTGTGCGAGACACGGTGCCATGAAAGGAATGGATGTGTTTAGTAAGCTTTTTACTGAACAATAAGCTCAGAAAAGGGTGCACCGTAAGCAGACAGCTTGAGAACTTCACACACGGGCACAGCACCAGCTCCAGGGACAGAGCCGCCTCATGCTCCCACATCCCGGCCTGAGGCCTGGCCTCAGCTACAGCCCACTGATGAGCACTTGCCTTCCTTCGCAGGGAATCTTACCTTGGGGTCCCTCTGGCCAGCAGAGTGTCTGTGGCTCAGGGGCAGTTCTGACTGTCACTGTGGCAGTGTGGTGAGTGTGTGCAGAGGGCACGAGCACCCCTTCCTGCTGGCATTTCCCCAGGCAGATGGCAGGCTCGGGTCCACTGCCCTCCAACCTTGGAGGCTCTGCCCCACAGGCTTCCAGGTGTTACCAGTTCTGTCCACAGTGGGGAGAGGCCACTGGCAGGATGGTGCATTGGTTGTGTCTGCCATCCTGGCTGGTGTGTTCCTCCCTGGTGAGCTGGAACCTCACATGCACTCTGGAAATGTCTAGAAGGGACATTTGGGGACCGTAGCAGTTGTGGAATCCCGTCTCCCATGTTTAAGCACCCCTCAAGGCCCTCTGTCTAGATACTTGAGTTCAGCTCTGATTTAAGGATTATTTAATAAAGGAATAGTCTCAAGCATATAAGTGCAAAAAATTCAGATCTAAAAACCTTTTAAAACTACCTAATAGGAACTTCAGGTTAAATTTCAAAATTAAAATATAAATTTGGCCACTGAACTATGCACTTAAAAATGGTTAAAACTGGTAAGTTATATAAATACTTGGCCACAATAAAAATAACTAAATTGGGATCAGGAAGGCACCTCCAGGCAGAACAGAAAGTTGCCGGGTTCTTTTGTCTTTCCCAAGCCAGTCCCATGGCTCTGCTGCCAGCTGGTGCTCAGCAGCCCTGTTGGCTTGCGGCAGGTGTGGTTGCCTCTGGCTGCCCTGGTGACACTGCCCTGCGAGTCGTGTGGGCATCCCCTGCCCCAGCCCCACAGATGCTGAGCCATGACTTGTTTTTCTGTGAAGCTCCAGGGGGAGCCTCAGCGTCAGTGTGCTCCATCCCTGCGGTAGACAGCGAGTCAGAAGAACAGCCAGGAGCTGAGATCCATAAGGAGGCGGCGACCTGCTCCCTGGCCCCTGAAGGTGCCAGCTGCCCCAAGATCCACAGCAGGAGATTCAGGGAGTGAGTGACCCCGTGGGGGATGGGGTGGGCTGTGCTTGTTCTGGCCTTGGGCATGGAGCTCTCCCACCCTGACATGCTCTCAAACTAGAAAGCCAAGAGCTGGGCCGAGTGTTTTTATTCTTCTGGTAGAGGTGGCCAGGAACCGAGTCATACCCTACGTCAGGGCTGCTGCATATGCTGCTACAAGGGCTCTCGTCCCGCCAACGTGATGGCAGAGGTGCCCAGGTTTTCAGCTGGGAATGGCTAATGAGCGACAGTAGATGACATTTAGACTCCCTTTGGTTTGGTTTCTCTGCATAATTTCTTAAGGAGCTCTGCCCCCCCACCCCAGTTTTCTTCAGAGCAGACTCCAGATGTTTTCAGTAGAGGCGCACAGGGAATGGCCAGATACAGGGACACTTGGCAGAAGCTATGGTGGAGTGCAGAGGTTCTGTCCCTTGGTGGCGGATGATTCGATCCTTCGCTTTCGTTAAATCCAGTCAGGCAGGAGCTCCACTTCTGATGAGTATTGCATATCAGTGTGACTTCTGAGGGGCTGTGCCACCCACATCCTCCTGGGGTGTGATGGGCAGCGCTGCATGTCGCAACTGGTAGGAAGCTGGTGGCATCTGATGTTTTTCAGTTACTGCAGCCAGGTGCTCAGTAAAGAGGTTGATGCCTGTGTCACGGATCTGCTGAAAGAGCTGGTCCGTTTCCAAGACCGTATGTACCAGAAGGATCCTGTCAAGGCCAAGACCAAACGCCGGCTTGTGCTGGGGCTGAGGGAGGTACTGAAGCACCTGAAGCTCCGGAAGCTTAAGTGCGTCATCATCTCTCCCAACTGTGAGAAGATCCAGTCTAAAGGTAGGGTGCCTCGGCATCCCCAGCGCCTGGCCCACGACGCCCCAGTCAGTGGCTGAGCATGGGCAGAGTGATTGGTTTCCTTTTCTTTTAATTGAGTAATTTGTTTCCGGGGTTTATTTGCCCACCTCGTTCCTTACTCCGAGGCAGCCAGGCTTATGTCTTCATGGCGTGGTCTTGGCCAGCCCCGCAGGCCTCTGGTGGCAAGAGAGGACACGTCTCCACCATGTAGCACGCTGGGCGGCGTTGGTTTGCTCTGGAGCTAGGGTCACCGCTCCCAGGTTTGTATGTGTTGTCACTAGTCCGAGGGTGTGTGAACCCCATGCGCCTTGTTCTGTAGCTTCAGTCTTAGCACCCTTCCATCACACTGGTTCACACAGGCTGCTGCTCCTGAAGGCCGTGCTGTCCCACGTGGAGGGCGTGCTGGTTTGTTGTGTGAACGTCTCTATAGGTCCCACGTGGAGAATGGGAGGGCATGTGCATGTGTAATTCTTACACCTCCAGGGACCCCATGGCCCCCACAGGCCCGGTGCTTCTCCCTGCGCTCTGACGTGGGTGGGAAGTTGAGCATCTTCTCACTTGGTTCAGAGCTTGGTATTTTCTGTGAACTATTGGTTCACATTCTTTGCTGATTTATCTTTTAGATGTTGGTCTTTTTTGTATCAACATTACTTTTTTTGTATAATAATAAAGTGAGCCCTTCAATTAAGACTGGTCAGTGTTTTCTGGTTTGTCAGTGGCCTGTTTTCACCTTTCTTTGACCATGCAGGGAGTGGGTGTGTATATAGGTAGCTTTTATTCCTACGTTTTTATCACACCTAGATTTTATGTCAGTCCTCGACCTTTGCCTCCAAGGTGATGACAGTTTTTAATTGTTCTCCCTGTTCTCCGTGTTTTCATGTGTGTCTCTGTAGCATGTATCTCAGTCTAGATGGACCTTTCCAAAGGCTGACCAGTTGTCCCTTCTCCCCGGCTTTGAAATGCTCTTCCCCATGTGTTCAAGCTCCACATACTCGGCTCATTTCTGGACCCTCTCTTATCCCTCTGTGTCCCCTTATTTATGTTCTTACAGCTTTACAGCATGTTTTTAATGCTGATGATGCTAGCCTGTAGTTTCCTTTTTTGAAATGCTATTTTCACTCGTGTATTTGTTTCATATTTTTTATTTTTTTAAAAATGCCATTTGTAGTAAGTCACAGTGTTTCAAAGTTTTAGGCTAATGTAAAATCGACATGTTATAAATTTGGATCATCTTGTCCGAGAGCAGGATGTCTTTTATTTGTTTAAATTTTCTATAGTGTTTTTATTTTAACCCTCACCTGAGGATATTTCCTCATTGCTTTCCAGAGAGCGGGGGAGGGGTGAGGAGAGACATCGATCGGTTGCCTCCTGCATGCGCCCTGACCTGGGCCGGGGATCAAGCCTGCAACCATGGTATGTGCCCTTGGCCAGAACTGAACCCGGGACCCTTCAGTCCATGGGCCAACGCTCTGGCCACTGAGCCAAACCAGCTAGGTCTCCACAGTGTTTCAATAGCATGTGGAAGTCGCTGTTTCCTGATAAATGGACTCTTGCCCGTTGCGATGTTTGGCTGCTGTTACCACTGTAGTTCTTTCTCCGTCATGCAGCTCAGCCGGCTCCAGCGGCGTGCAGACGAGTGGTTTCTGTGTCGTTTCTGCACAGACACTGTGTTGTAATGCTCTTTCCTGTTCGTGGTAATTGTTCGGTGCTGCTGGATTTCTGGCTTGTCAGGCATATCCCTGCAGACACAGCTCTTCGCCCTCCTGAAGCTCATGCTGCCTCTCACCGCTCTCCCTGTGCACCAGCTTTAGCCGGTGCGTTCCCGGGAGGCAGGCAGAAGTGGAGGGTGGTGAGCCCAAATGTGGTCATGGCAGAAGGGCTGGTGATGCAGGATAGGTGCCTAGTGACCTCTCTGTTTCGATTCCCATCTGTGAGCAGGGCATAGCCTCCCTCTTTGGTGTTTTTGTGAGGCTTTGGGAGCTCCACGTGGGAGGCAGTTAAAGCAGTGGCCGGCATTGGTGAGTGTTTAATGTTCGCTAGACTTTGTTAGGGGTGACGCAGCTCTTGGCTCAGTGTACACACATTTCATTGCACAAAGTAGTAGTCCTTGGAGGGTGATTTCTCCCATGTGGCTGTACTGACAGGTCAAGAAGGGAGCTGGGCAGTGTTGCTGTCTATAGCCAAAAGTCCTCACAACCTGTGTCTCCACGTGCCCCATGTGACGTACCTCCTGTCCTCTCCCATGTCCTCGGACAGGTGGGTTGGATGACACCCTGCACACCATCATAGATTACGCCTGTGAACAGAACATCCCCTTCGTGTTCGCTCTCAACCGCAAAGCTCTGGGGCGCAGCCTGAACAAGGCCGTGCCTGTCAGTGTGGTCGGCATCTTCAGCTACGACGGGGCCCAGGTAAAGCGGGGAGCAGGCTCCAGCCTGTCAGCGCTGCTCCTGGGAGGGAGGCCTCAGTGACCTTTGTTTCCTTCATAGTACGAAGGAAGTGTGTTTCAGCATTTAGCTCTGGGTTTGCTGCTGCCACACAAGTACCCCAGGCACCCCATTCTTCTCTTGGGGTGGCACCCTAGGCTGGTGGCACCCTTCTCTTGGAGGGCAGCATTGTGGTTTGCAGGAGACCCGTCTCTTCTGTAGTCAGGGGGCATCACCTGTGCCCTCACTCTGTCCAAGGACCAGTTCCACAGGATGGTTGAGCTGACAGTGGCGGCGCGGGAGGCGTACAAGACCATGCTAGAGAACGTGCATCAGGAACTGGCGGTAGAGCCTGGGCCCTGGACCCCTGCTGGCCAGCCTGCGCTGGGCCCCAGCTGCTCTGCAGAAGATGGCCCCCCGGCTTCTCCCAGGACAGAAGAGCCACACTACAGTGAGTGCTGGAGAGGNACCGCTCTCCCTGTGCACCAGCTTTAGCCGGTGCGTTCCCGGGAGGCAGGCAGAAGTGGAGGGTGGTGAGCCCAAATGTGGTCATGGCAGAAGGGCTGGTGATGCAGGATAGGTGCCTAGTGACCTCTCTGTTTCGATTCCCATCTGTGAGCAGGGCATAGCCTCCCTCTTTGGTGTTTTTGTGAGGCTTTGGGAGCTCCACGTGGGAGGCAGTTAAAGCAGTGGCCGGCATTGGTGAGTGTTTAATGTTCGCTAGACTTTGTTAGGGGTGACGCAGCTCTTGGCTCAGTGTACACACATTTCATTGCACAAAGTAGTAGTCCTTGGAGGGTGATTTCTCCCATGTGGCTGTACTGACAGGTCAAGAAGGGAGCTGGGCAGTGTTGCTGTCTATAGCCAAAAGTCCTCACAACCTGTGTCTCCACGTGCCCCATGTGACGTACCTCCTGTCCTCTCCCATGTCCTCGGACAGGTGGGTTGGATGACACCCTGCACACCATCATAGATTACGCCTGTGAACAGAACATCCCCTTCGTGTTCGCTCTCAACCGCAAAGCTCTGGGGCGCAGCCTGAACAAGGCCGTGCCTGTCAGTGTGGTCGGCATCTTCAGCTACGACGGGGCCCAGGTAAAGCGGGGAGCAGGCTCCAGCCTGTCAGCGCTGCTCCTGGGAGGGAGGCCTCAGTGACCTTTGTTTCCTTCATAGTACGAAGGAAGTGTGTTTCAGCATTTAGCTCTGGGTTTGCTGCTGCCACACAAGTACCCCAGGCACCCCATTCTTCTCTTGGGGTGGCACCCTAGGCTGGTGGCACCCTTCTCTTGGAGGGCAGCATTGTGGTTTGCAGGAGACCCGTCTCTTCTGTAGTCAGGGGGCATCACCTGTGCCCTCACTCTGTCCAAGGACCAGTTCCACAGGATGGTTGAGCTGACAGTGGCGGCGCGGGAGGCGTACAAGACCATGCTAGAGAACGTGCATCAGGAACTGGCGGTAGAGCCTGGGCCCTGGACCCCTGCTGGCCAGCCTGCGCTGGGCCCCAGCTGCTCTGCAGAAGATGGCCCCCCGGCTTCTCCCAGGACAGAAGAGCCACACTACAGTGAGTGCTGGAGAGGGTCTGAGTCTGGGCAGGGTGTCCTTGATCTTCAAGGACTTGGATTAAAAGTCCGAGTGCCTGGGGCAGCAGTGCAGCCACTCTGTGGCAGCACTGGCTGGGGAAGGCCCGGCTAGTCCTGGCCATTGTCTGGGAGGTGTTCTCAGACCCGGGGATTTGCAAGGACTTGTCAGTGAGTGTCTCAAACAGACCCCTGGTCAGACGGACCCCGGACAGAGGGTGGCTGCCAGGACAGCTGTGTCCTTGGCAGAAGGTTGTCAAGGTCAGCGAGCGCCCGAGGTGTCATTGGTGCTGCTCACAAACGGGTTGGGGTAGGGGGGTTGGTGCACTGGAGATGGTGGGGTTGAGCCTGTGACAGCCTGTCCAGGGGACTGTGTGCTGAGCAGTGTGCACTTCCCAGTAGATCCTGTCCTGTCTTTCCCTGCCTGTTCAGCAGCTGTGCTGCTCTCTCGTTCCAGTTGAAATCTGGAGAAAACACCTGGAAGCCTACAGTCAGTGTGCCGTGGAGCTGGAAGGATCACTGGAGGCTTCAACCTCTCAGATGATGCGCTTGAATTTATAAGGAGGCTTCTTCTGTGTTTGTGTGTTTGGGGTAAAGAGGGGCGGTTGGAACTACTTTGTGGCCCACCCTTCGTAGTTCTTCAACCCGATGCGTTTGTAATGCATTTGTTGGCAGCATGGAGGGCACAGGAAGCAGCCCTGTGGCATCCAGAGCTGCAGATCCCATGGTGGGTACTGGGGCTTGCTGATAGAGACCTTTCTAGAAGCCTCTGAGCACACTGTGAATCTGGAAGACACTGGAAAACGTCCTCAAGGCCCCTGCTGCTGGAACCGTCCTTCCATTGCAGAAAGCTGACCAGGTTAGTCAGTCTGTGAACACAGGAGCAATGTGGGTGCTGTCCTCTGCATCGTGGTATCTCGGCCCAGTCCTGGGGACCCAGCCTCAGAGCAGGAGGGGAGGGATGGTTTTCTTGGGACATGGCCTTTCAGCAGGAAGACCTGCTGAAAGGGGAGACCCACAGGATTTGCTAAAGTGAGCCTTAAGAAAAACTGGTTTTCTAACTTGTGACCTTTGACATGAATTGTTTTAGTCTTTACCCTTTGGGAAAACAATGTATATTAAAATTCCTAAATTTCAAACTTACAAATCCTTTTGTAAGTCAATATATTCTGAATATGGTTTATGTCTCATAGGCCAAGAGGGAAAATGTTTACTCTATTTTCTTGTAAGAAAGATTATTTATTTTGAATAAACTGACTACTTAATGTCCCTGGAGACTGATTATCTGGTCATTTAGTTTATCCTTGGTCTCTTCCTTACTAGGTCTTCCTTTGTCTTGACCTGTGCCTTTCAGCCTTTGAATTTCAAGAACGTAGGGACTGAGCAGGGAGAGGTGTTATGTCCATACCTCCTGGGGCTGGAAGTAGCCGCTGCTGAGGTCCCAGACCCTCAGAGACCTGCCGTCACCAAACCCTGCCTCAGTCCCCTGCTTGCATGCTTGTCACAGAGGAGATGGTAGGATTGGAGTTTCACTGGTCTGTGCTTGTCAGGCAGACAAAGTTTGCTGTTGGCTTTGAAATACCGTTAGTTGAATTCAGTCTTGCCAAGTACTGTATCTCAGAGGTAAGTGGCCTGTGATGCGCAAACAGAAGTGGAGTAACGAGTCAGAAATGGTACACTGTGTGGACAGAGCTGACAGTTTGACCAGAGGTTCTGTGTATAAAGCACCTGCCTCTCCAAACACACCCCGAGCTGTTTAAATGGGGACATAGCACCTTGTTAACCAGCTACTACCTCCCAAGCCCTGAGTCCTGTTCACAAGTTTTTCTCTCTGAGCTGCCAGGAAGAGCAGCATCAGGAAGGTCTTTCCTGCCCTCCCCATGTCAACAGGTAGCAAGTCAACTGTACTAGGCTTGAAAACAGGAGATTATTTGATAATAGAGTTTCCAAAATTAATTTGGGAGAAAATGAAATAGCCTTTCAGCTGCAGTAAGCAGCCTAGAATTCTAAAACTGATAAATCAGAAATTCATTAAACAGATCTCTGGTCAAGATGGCATGTAGTTAAACTCTGAGATTGCCTCCTCCGTGATCAAAATTACAACTAAATGATGAACTATCATCACCGACAGCCACCTGAAGTCTATCCTTGTAACTGAGGCTACAAAGAAGAAGCCCCGTCAAGACAGGCCATAGGTGTGGAGATATGGATTGGGGAGGTGATTAGGAAATAGGAGGGATGTATCTACTGCAGAGGTATCCCTGAGGAGCAAGGGGTCCCACCCCCAGCCCAGAGCACTACAGCCAGGAAGAGAAGTCCCCATAATTTCTGGCTGTGAAAACCAGCAGGGATTCTGTCCCCCAAAAAAGAGCTGCTAATGCATGAGGTGCTGCTCTTAAAGTGCCCATGCACAGATACACTTGCTCACAACTCACTCCCTCTAAGCGCCGGCGCAGGGCAGCATCTTGAGAAGTGCCAGGGACACAAGAGGAACTAAAGAGACATACTTCAAGGGCAGTGGTTGGGGGATAGGGATTGGGCACCTCTCTCCGAGGATAGAAATATTGGCAGGTACCATTGTTTCTTTGTTGAGCTTTCCCACCCAGCTGGCCTGGTGCAGGCAGACACTGAATCTGTGCTGTCCACTAGCCTGGCTAACACTGTTCACGCCTCACTGGTGATTCCCTGAGACCTTGTTCTACCCAACCTGCTTGCCTGGACCAAACCTCTTCCAGTGGCTACTCCACAAAAGCTCACCCCAGCTTATGCTGTGGACTTGCCCCAAAATCTGCAAACCTTACGGAGTGCTCTAGTCTTGTGCTGCAGATTTTCTCAAATGTCAACAAATCCCACACAAGTGGCAGCTGCTCTACCTAGACTTGTACTAGACTCTCTCAAAGTTCCACAAATCCTATACACACAGTGGCCAGCCTCAACGTGCACTGTAGCTCCTGACAAGTGGCCCCAAGCCCAGCACAAGTGTTGACTCAGCTTGCACTGTAACTCCCAGCAGTTGGCCCCAAGCCTGGCATAAGTGGTGGCCAATCTTAGCCAGGAACGTATCTCCAACTAAGCAGCCAAAAGCTGGCTCAAGTGGCGGCAGACTTCATCTCACATCACGGTGCCCATCAGAGTCCCAAGCCCGGTACAAGTGGCACCTGGTTGGTTCTCAGCGTAGCCACTCTCAAGCACCTCCAAGCGCAAGTCAAGTGGAAGTCAAACACAGATCACTGTTGCTTATACCAAGCAACCCCAAGTCTGACATAAGCAGTGGCCAACTTTGCTCCCAAGAGGCTCCAGACTATACCAGAGCCCTATTCAACCAGTTCCACAACTGACACACCTGAAAGGCTGCCTTGGCTGGCATCAGAAGCCTCAGTAAAATGACTCCTACTCCATGGGGACAGCCCCTGCATAACAGTTGGTCTACTGTAGTCATAGCCAGCCCTCACAGCCAGTCAGCCTGAGGGCCAACCACACCCAGTGATGTGCTAGCAGCAGTCAAGGTTCATCTACAACAGGAGACCCAACAAAACCTACACAGGGGACACCCCTGGAGCATCCAGCTCAGGTGACCAGGGAGTCTGCCATTGAGCCTTACAGGACACCTACATAAGGCCACTCTGTCAAGACTGAGAGATGTAGCCCTAGCTGGTTTTGCTCAGTGGTTAGAGTGTCAGTCCATGGACTGAAGGGCCCTGGGTTCAATTCCAGCCAAGGGCACGTACCACCACGGTTGCAGGCTCAATCCCCGGCCCCAGTCAGGGTGCATGCAGGAGGCAACCAATTAATGTGTCTCTCTCACATCAATGTTTCTCTCCCACTCTCTGTAAAGCAATGGGAAAAAATACCATTGGGTGAGGGTTAAAAAAAGATATACTTTATGAGGCAGAGGATGGAATCAGTGGTCTGGAAGACAAGGTAGCAGAAAACACCCAATTGGACAGCAAAAGAAAATTTTTTTTTAATGAGGCTAGTTTAAGGGAACTCTGGGACAACATCAGGACTATCACCTTACATAATAGGGGTTCCAGAAGGAGAAAAGGGAAAGGGACTGAAAACATTTTTGAAGAAATAATCACTGAAAACTTACTTCACTTGCTGAAGAAAACATACAAGTGCAGGAAGTGCAGAGAGTCCCAAACAAGATAAAGGCAAAGAGGCCCACAGTAAGATACATCATGATTAAAATGCCAAAAGTTACGGTATCTTAAAAGCAGCGAGAGAGAAAAGCAGCTAGTTCCGTTCACGGGGGCTCCCATTAGACTATCAGCTGATTTTCCAATAGGGAAATTGAAGGCCAGAAGGGAATGGCATGAAATATTCAAAGTGATGAAAGGGAAAACTTATGACCAAGATTGCTCTACCCAGTAAGGCTATGGTTTAGAGTCAAACAAGGGATCAAGAGTTTCCCAGGCAAGAAATGAGTTTATCACCACTAAACTAGTATTACAAGACATGTTAAAGGGACTTTAAGTAGAAAAGTAAAGATTAAAAATATGAATAAAATATAGGAAAGAAAAAATTTTCACCAACAAAGGCAAACGGTAAATGCAGTAGTACAAAGGTTAAAGACAAACATAGGAAGATCATGTGTATTTACAACAATATATTAAGGTATACATACAAAAGAGGTTTAAAAACGTGACAAAAACATAGTGTGGGTTGGTGAGTAAAAACATTTCAGAATGTGTTCAATCTTAAGAGAAAATCAACTTAGAGTGCTATAAATATAGTTTGGTATATATGCAGTACATGGTAACCACAAACCAAAAATCTCTAAGAGACAAGAGATAAAAAGAAAGGAATCCAAACATAGCACTATAGAAAGTCATCAACATACAAGAGAAAAGAGCAAGAGAATATAAAAGGAACAGAAGAAATACAAAAAATCAGAAAACAGTTATGAAATGGCAATAACTACATACCTATCAATAATTACTTTAAATGGATTAGATACTCCAATCAAAAGACATGGAGTGGCTGGATGGATAAAAAACAAGACAAAAACCAATACACATGCTGCCTAGAAGGGACCTACTCCAGATAGAAAGACATACAAACTGAAAATAAAGAATGAAGAGATAGTTCATGCAAATGGAAACAAGGTGGAATACCAATACTTATGTCAGACAAAAGAGACTTTAAAACAAAGGCTACAGTCATCAAAACAGCATCATACTGGCATAAAAACAGACAAATAGATTATTGGAATAGAATAAGAATCCCAGAAATAAATTCACACTTACGTGGTCAATCTATGACAGAGGAGGCAAGAATATAAAATGGAGTAAAGACAGTCTCTTCAAAAACAGTGCTGGGGAAACTGGACAGATAAATGTGAAAAATGAAATTAGACCACTTTCTTACACTATATACAAAAATAAACTGAATGAATTAGAGACTTAAATATAAGAACTGAAACTATGAAACTCCTAGAAGAAAACATAGGCAATAAACTCTGACATTTGTCTTAACGATACTTTTTTGGGGTATTTCTCCTAGGGAAAAGACAAGAGCAAGCATAAACAAATGGGACTACATCAAACAAAAGCTTTTGCACAGCAAAGGAAGC